GTCTGGAGCTCCATGTTTCAGGGCATTGGCACCGGTTTCCACCTGTTTTATTTGGGGAACGAGCTGCACCCAGGCACAGAAGGATGTTTCTTAATTGCCAAAAAAACTAAACCAGAGGAAGGCATGGTTCAATAAAAATAAAATATACTCCTCTGCTGTATATTAAGTCCACTCTACCTCCTCTGAAGTCCACTCTCCACAGTGGATAGCCTTAGACCAACAGAAAGCACATTTTTGCATCAAGCACAGATCCCAAGAACCCCCAAAGCACTCCCTGCCTCGGACTGTGTTTGTCCATATTCAATCTTTGCACACAGCGAGTCACACGCTGCGGTCACGAGCTCCCTCACTTCACAGAGGGAAGCAGAGACAACGTGAATGGAATACTCTTGAATAGCCAGATCTGCGTTAATCCCAACATATCTGGGTTACAGGAGCATGTTCTTTGTAGACTCCGCAGCATCTAGATCCACTCACTTCTCATCCTCCTCCAGCGCTGGACAGCCTGGATGCAACAGTCCAGGCTTCCTTTTCTACTTAAAGGAGAGATATCAGTTGTCTCAACTGAGATGCTTTGGCCTACCCTGCCTGTCCACCAGTTCCTGCTCCAGAAAGGCTCCCATCAGCCCTGGGTCACATTTCCTAGTACCATGTTGGGGCTTCAGGTACTCCCATGTATCCTCGCCACCTCTGTGTGGGCAACTGTATCAACCCTTGAATGAAGATGTTAAGCAGAAGTTGAAACATAGGCAGAAAAGAGCTCAGTGTGATAAGTGTATAAGAAGTCTTCATTTTCAGAACTTTGATGCTCATCTGTAAATTCTCATTATTTTTTCATAGGCCATGGACATGGACCAGCAAGCTGATGGCACTTTCTCTCCCTCTATTTAAATACAGATTTGTACGTCCAGTCCCTTCTGACTGGTAACGTTTGAGTTTGCTCAAGTAGCCCCTGATTTGATTCCTATCCACCGTTGGCTGTTTTCCTCTAGAGTCCTGCCTTGAGGCACAAAGGCCTGGGAGACCTTGCTGGTGATAATTGAGTCAAAGAGCACACTAAATATCTCAGATCGATCTATGCCTGCTCTTACTAAATTTAGGAGTAATCCCATACTGTCTTTGCTTCTTCTTTAACTGTCCCTGAAGTAGTAACAGCTCGTTATGGTGCCCTTGAATTTACTTTCAAGTTTCAACCGAGATTTGTTATAGACCATTGCTATGCTTGGAGGATGCTGTCCTTGAAGACCAGCTGTACTGAGCTCTGCTGCCATTCAGTGCTGCTGACCATTGGATCCCCACTAGAAGTCCCCAGCATAGGCCAAAGTCTGCTCTTCTAACATCCAGCATCTGCAGTCTCCTGTTTTCCTTCCCCACTCCCCTCAGGAACTGGGACCCCAATATTTCAGGGTGACGACAAGCAAGACTTACAATGATCTTCACATCTCTGACAAGCTCTTCCTTGCTGGCAAGTATGAGATCCAGCTTTGCATTACCTTTGTTGGCCCATCTGGCAGCTGTGCTCGGAAATTGTCCCTGAATCTGCCTGGAGATTCTGGAGAATCTCCAGAATCTGCCTGGACTGTTTGCATGCTGCTGTGCTCCCCTTCCAGAAAATGCCAGGGTCATCAAAATCCCCAGTGAGGCCCAGCACGCCAAGCTGTGTGACTTGTTCTACCACGCCTTGGCAGTTACTCCATTGATGTCAAAAAGCACAGGCTCCAGCTCGTCCTGCCTATGCCCCTGGCTGAGGGCATCGGTGCACATTTGGGCTGTGGCACCTCAGGTGCAGCACCAGGCCAAGCTCTCACTTGTCTTAGGGAAACCTGGTACCAAGCATCCAAGACCGCATGTGTGCAAAGGCTTTGCATCAGAGCAGAGACATGCCAGAGTGGACAGCAGATGGAAAAATAAAGCTGAAACTGGATGCCAAGAGAGTGAGCAAACCCTGCTGTCCCAGGGACAGAGAGAAACAGGGCTAGGAAATGCAGCCCTGGAAAGAAACAGGTTTACTTCAGTGGTGTCTCTGCTGCCCCTGAGGGCCTTCAGTGGACGTGAAGGTGATCTCCATGAATGAGAAGGTGCTGCTGACAGGCCCACTGTGAAAACTGTTGGTCTGTTCCTTGGCTGTATCATCAAGGGGGTGAATAAAGGTTGGTGCAGAGCAAATCCAGCAGTCTGAGAATGTAGGCACCCAAGTGGAGAGCCCAGTGTGATGTGCCTTGTGTTCCTGGACTGCCCTCCATCTGCTGGATAGAGAAGGGACAGACCTTGCCACAGTGCAGTCGTGGCCATCAGTGGCTTGCACAAAGGCACCGAACCTGTCTGCAGTGCTGTCCAGAATGTAATTGGGCAATGTGGGGATGAAAACCATCATTATAGTCAATGGAGATCTAGTCAAGCCAGCTGATGGAAAAGACAGAGAAACGTAGCTCTCCCTGTGATACAGGACAGTATTTGTCAGATGGCAGTGCAGGCTGCCAAGGAAATAGTAAATAGGGACAGGTGCAGCTGTGTTGCACATGCCTTGGACAACCTCTGGTACCTCAAACATCACCAGCTATTTCACCTGAACAGCCAACTCCTGACCTACATCTTCATCAATTACCATGGGAGCTGAGACAAGGAACTCACATGATTCCTCACAAGAGGAATCCCACGTCCTGTGGGTTTGTGACAGGCAAGGGAGGGAGCTCATTCCCCTTCCAGTGCTAACAATAGAAACGTAGGATGAGATGCCTCGATTGACTCAGCTGAATCCCTTCCCTCAGCAGGAGTAAAGAAGATCCCTGCCTGTCTTTGTGTGGGTGTCCTGCTTAATAATAAGACAACAAAGGTGATTTTTAGACCTAACTCTGCCTCAGATAGGAGAAATGACACTGCAGGAAAGAAGTGTCTCCCCCCAGCTGAGGGAGGGAACATTCAGCTTGTTTCACAGTAGGTTCCCCTGGAGCCCCAGGGACACCTGGAGGGAGGCCTGAGGGGGCGGAGAAAGTGCTGCCTTGGGCTGGGCCTCTGTTGCTCAGGTGGCCCAGGCTCCTGGGATGCAAGGAGCTCATGACAAGTGGGCAGCACTGCTGAGAGACAGCTCTGCCCAGGAGTGGCTCCTCTACAAAGTGCAGCAGGGCTGAGGGCACTGCCCGCAGGCACCGAGGGGAGAGGAGCGAGGCAGAGAGAGGTTAAAGGCAGTCTGGGGTGGGAGGACAGAGCTGAGCTTGTTCCCAGAGAAATCTTCACAGCATTTGACACGGTAAGTCTCTGGCAGCAGGGCAATGCAGATGAGTATCCTGGACAGGTCTTCCAGAGCTGGCACATCCCATGACTGCTAGGACCTGTCAGGATGTCTGTCTTGGCTTCCCTGGTGTGAAGGAGGAGGACGTACTCCAGGGCAGGGCTTCCCTGCTGCACAGTCAGAAGGACAGGGCATGATGGCTGCCTTCTCCTGGGGATGGCTGCAGGGCTGTGAAGCCAGTTGTGCAGCCAGGGTGCCCAGGGCTGTCGTTCAGAGGAGGGTCCCTGGGGGGCTGTGTGCCAGAGCAGCCTGCCCAGGGAGCTTCCCATGGCGCTGTGGGGGGAAGCTCTGTGTGGAAGGAGCGACTCCTGGCAGGGCAGGCAGGGTCCTGCTGTTGAGAGGGTGCGACATGGACAAGGGCTGCTTACAGCTCCAGATTACCCCCAGGGCATTTCCAAGGGGGCTTTTCAAGAGGAAGGTCAAAATGGGGATTATGTTAAATGGAAGGAGTCAGTGCTTTGAGTTTTCTCCTCTTGGTTGGCTGGGTGGGCAGTGGGAGATGGAAATTTACGTCTCCGCTCTGGAGAAGTCACTCAGATCCCAGTTCTAATTAGGACTTGTCCGAGTTTCTCCTGAGTCCCTGCACATACAGAGATACCCCTGGGCAATGCCTTGCTGCCAGGAGGTGTCTGCGGGGCAGAGCGGAGAACACAGCGAGTGGGATGGGGTCTGTGAGCATGGAGAGGGAGGAGATGTGGGGACAGAGAAAGAGGTCATGGCCAAGAAGAGCTGCAGGCAGCAGACACATGGGCAGGAAGGAAGGGGATGTGGGGGGGTGAGGATTCAAGTGCAGCTCAGACACCAACGCTGCGTGTGCTGTCATGCACATATGGCCATGGAGGAAAGGAATCCAGCTCGTGCCCTGTTCACCTGTGCGGCTCTGGGTACTGCAGTGTGTGTGGCTGGCACTCATCTCACCCTCCCTTCAGGACGTAACAAATTCAGGAGAGTTTTCTCTGTCCTTGGGAGCTCCTGCTGGGTTGCAGGCTGCCCTCCCGTAGGGCACAGCTCTCCCAGGGCATCTCTGTGTTTTGCAGGAGCCCCATGGAGAAGACACCTCGGTGCTAAGGCCA